AGAAATAACTTGTTATTTTGACAATTACAGTGGGGCAAAAAAGTATTTAGTCAGCCACCAATTGTGCAAGTTCTCCCACTTAAAAAGATGAGAGAGGCCTGTAATTGGCATCATAGGTAGACCTCAACTATGAGAGACAAAATGAGAAAAAAAATCCAGACAATCACATTGGCTGATTTGGAAAGAATTTATTTGCAAATTATGGTGGAAAATAAGTATTTGGTCACCTACAAACAAGCAAGATTTCTGGCTCTCACAGACCTGTACCTTCTTTAAGAGGCTCCTCTGTCCTGCACTCATTACCTGTATCAATGGCACCTGTTTGAACTTATCAGTATAAAAAAAGACACCTGTCCACAACCTCAAACAGTCACACTCCAAACTCCACTATGGTGAAGACCAAAGAGCTGTCGAAGGACACCAGAAACAAAATTGTAGACCTGCACCAGGCTGGGAAGACTGAATCTGCAATAGGCAAGCAGCTTGGTGTGAACAAATCAACTGTGGGAGCAATAATTAGAAAATGGAAGACATACAAGACCACTGATAATCTCCCTTGATCTGGGGCTCCATGCAAGATCTCACCCCGTGGGATCAAAATGATCACGAGAACGGTGAGCAAAAATCCCAGGACCACACGGGGGGGACCTAGTGAATGACCTGCAGAGTGCTGGGACCAACGTAAAAAAGGCCATCAACAGTAACACACTATGCCGCCAGGGACTCAGATCCTGCAGTGCCAGACGTGTCCCCCTGCTTAAGCTAGTACATGTCCGGGCCGGTCTGAAGTTTGCTAGAGAGCATTTGGATGATCCAGAAGAGGATTGGGAGAATGTCATACGGTCAGATGAAACCAAAATAGAACGGTTTGGTAGAAACACAACTCGTTGTGTTTAGAGGAGAGAGAATGCTGAGTTGCATCCAAAGAACACCATACCTACTGTGAAGCATGGGGGTGGCAACATCATGCTTTGGGGCTGTTTCTCCGCAAAGGGACCAGGACGACTGGTCCATGTACAGGAAAGAATGAATGGAGCCATGTATCGTGAGATTTTGAGTGCAAATCTCATCCATCTGCAAGGGCATTGAAGATGAAACGTGGCTGGGTCTTCCAACATGACAATGATCCCAAACATACCGCCCGGGCAACAAAGGAGTGGCTTCGTAAGAAGCATTTCAAGGTCCTGGAGTGGCCTATCCAGTCTCCAGATCTCAACCCCATAGAAAACCTTTGGAGGGAGTTGAATGTCCGTGTTGCCCAGCGACAGCCCCAAAACATCACTGCTCTAGAGGAGATCTGCATGGAGGAATGGGCAAACATACCAGCAAAAATGTGTGCCAACCTTGTGAAGACTTACAGGAAACGTTTGACCTCTGTCATTGCCAACAAAGGATATATAACAAAGTATTGAGATGAACTTTTGATATTGACCAAATACTTATTTTCCACCATAATTTGCAAATAAATTCTTTCCAAATCAGCCAATGTGATTGTCTGGATTTTTTTTCTCATTTTGTCTGTCATAGTTGAGGTCTACCTATGATGCCAATTACAGGCCGCTCTCATCTTTTTAAATGGGAGAACTTGCACAATTGGTGGCTGATTAAATACTTTTTTGCCCCACTGTATGTGTGAAAAAAAAAGTATAATTTCTTCATTTTCCAAAGAATTGTGGAAAAAAAAAATCACAACTTCAAAAAAACTCATCATGTCTTTTACTAAATACTTTGGAATGTCTATTTTTCAAAAAGTGGTCTTTTGGGGGCTATTTGTACTTTTCTAGCATGTCAGGGCCAGTGATTCAGGTGTGATCAGGTGTGATCAGGTGTGATTAATTTGCAATGATTGGTGCCACAGCTTGTAGACTCTATAACTTTCACACAGACTAAATAATATACACTGATTTGGGTTTTTTACCAAAGTTATGTAGCAGTATAAATTGTTGCCTAAATTTATGAAAATTACTTATTTGCAAAATTTTATAATAGAAACAAAAAAAAAATCTTATTTCTTTCAAAACTTTCGGTCGTTTTTCGTTTATAGTGCAAAAAATAAAAAAAACAGGGGTGATTAATTACCACCAAAAGAAAGCTCTATTTGTGTGAAAAATATGATAAAAATTTCATACGGGTACAATGTTGCAATTGTCATTCAAAGTGCGACAGCACTAAAAGCTGAAAATTGGCCTGGATAGGAAGGGGGTAAAAGTGCCCTGTATGGAAGTGGTTAAGGGGGATATGATCAACATGTATAAATACATCAGTGGTTCATATAGTGAACTCGGTGTAGAATTATTCACCCTGAGGTTGTCACAAAGGACAAGGGAGCACCCTTTGTGTTTTCGAGGAAGAGAGTTTTAGCCTCCAAATATGAAAAGAGATTTCTTCACAGTAAGAGCTGTAAAAATGTAGAACAGACTCCCTCAAGAGTTGGTTCTGGCCAGCTCAGTTGATTGCTTTAAAAAAGGCCTGGATTCTTTCTTAGATATACAGAATATAGCTGGATACTAACATTTATAGGTAAAGTTGCTCCAGGGAATATCCGATTGTCTCTCGGGGGATCAGGAAGGATTTTTTTCCCCTGCAGGAGCAAATTGGATCATGCTTTGCTGGGATTTTTTGCCTTCCTCTGGATCAACTGTGGGTATAGGATTATAACTTTTTTTTTTTTGTGTGGTTGAACTGGATGGACTTTTGTCTTTTTTCATCCAGACTAACTATGTAACTATGTGAGAGATCCTGTATAAATTTTGCACTTTGAATAAATGTAGGGGAAAGATGGCTGCAGATAAACAATTACAATTATGTAGGAGAATTTGTTTAATCTCTGTATCAACTTAGGCTAGTCACTATACTGGATATATATGAGTGTTTACCACCACTTTAATTGATAAAAAAAAAAGTGAACTATTAACACTTCTATTTCTGAAAATACTGTATTCTGAAGTTACAGTATTTTTTCACACCTGCCTAAAACTTTTGCACAGTGGTGTATACAATGGAGAGAAACCGCAAAGCCTGCCAATGCTGATCTGCTTTTTTTAAAAAAAGCTTACTTAGTTTTTCTAGTCATTATCTTTTGCATTTTGACATAATCAATAAATAATCCTGACATCTACTGCTCTTCATTACCCTTATAAAATGTTCTGTAACCATTTTGGTATTGGTGTAACTCTTTTCTTGGAAAAAAAGACCTGGAAAAATCATTGTGAAGGAAATGTTAGATACAGTGTATTCATAAAGTATTCAAACCCCATTCATTTATTTCAATTGTTTTATCTTGCAGCCTGATATAAAGTTGTTTATAAATTAAACATCACATTAGCATAAGTATTCAGACCTTTTGCAACAACACTTGAGGCACTTTGTTTCCCATTTCTCTTGATCGTTGCTGAGATGTTTCTACACCTTGACTGGAGTCCACCTTTGGTAAATTAAATTGATTAGACATGATTTGGAAAGGTAAACCTTCCTTTAAAAGGCCTCACACCTGACAATGCATACTGTATCAGAGCAAAAGCCATGAGGTCAAAGGACTGCCTGCAGAGCTTAGAGACTGGATTCAGTTATTGTAAGGCACAGATCTGGGGAAGGCTACACAAAATGTCAGCTACATTGAAGGTTTACAATAGTATAGTGGCCTCCATAATTCTCAAATTGAACAAGTTAGGCACAACCAGGACTCTTTCAAGAGTAGGTTGTCTGGCCAGACTGAGCAATCAGGGAGAAGGACCTTAGTAAGAAAGGTGACCAAGAACCTGAAAGCCCACTTGGCGTTTACAAAAAAAGCACCTGAAGAACTCTCAGACTGAGGAACTAGATTCTTTGGTCTGATGAAACTATGACTGGACTATTTGTCCTCAATTATAAACATTATGTCTGGAGGAAACCAGGGACCGCTCATCACCTAATACCATCCCAACAGTGAAGCATGGTGATGGCAGCATCATGTTGTGGGGGTGTTTTTCAGCAGCAGGGACTGGAAGACTGGTCAGGGTTGAGGGAAATGTGCAAAATACAGTATCCTCAATGAAAACCTATTCCACAGCGCTCAGGTCCTCAGACTGGGCCAAAGGTTCACCATTCAATATGACAACAATCCTAAGCACACTGCCAAGACAACAAAGGAGTGGCTTAGGAACAACTCTGTGAATGTCCTACAGTGGACCATCCAGAGCCCTAACTTGAACCCTACTGAACATCTCTTGAGACCTGGAAATGGCTATCCACCAACAGTCCCCATCCAACCTGACTGAGCTTGAGAGGATTTGCAAACAAAAATGGCTTAAAATCCCCCAATCCAGGTGTGCAAAGCTTGTTGTGTCATACCCCAAAATACTCAAGGCTGTAATTACTGCCAAGGGTGCTTCAACAAAGCACTGAGTAAAAGGTCTGAATAAGTGTGATATTTCAGTTTTTTTCAATTTTTTAATAAATTTGCAAACATTTTTAAAAGTCTGTTTTCACTTTGTCATTATGGGATACTGAGTGTAGATTAATGAGAAAAAAATGAATTTAAAAACTGTAGTATCAGGTTGCGACATGACAAAATTGAAAATAGTGAAGGAGGTCTGAATACTTTTTTTAATGTACTGTAGCTGATGATTTAGTTTACCCCTTTTTTTTCCTAACAAACAATTTCATTGTCAAAATTCTCTTTTAATTTGTATGTCACATTTACCAGGAAGTTATAATTTTGACAAAATGCTTTATCCACTTTCTCTAGGATATATCAAATTATTCTCAAAAAAGTTAAAAGTGGTAAGAAAGATTCAATTTTTACACCAGGAAAGTGCCGTACAGACAGGTTACACAGGGCTAAGGAATTCCCTGACAGTGTATCGACTGATACAAATGAGATTGATTCAGTTGTTTTTGTGTTAATTAAACCAAAGAATGAATACAAGCTATAAAATTCTATTTCTGTATGCCAGAATATAGATATTTTCGAGTGCAGTTAATAAATCTATGTGCTTCTGTTCATCTTTAGTTTTTTTTTTTTACACTCCCAGGATCTTTTTCACATAACTGCGGACATTGTGATGAAGCTGTGGAGATGTCTGGTGGAAAGTTTCTGTGGCTAGAGCACGAGTGGCCTCTGATCCAGCTTTCATAGCACGGTACAATGGCAATGTGTACTTCTGTTTTCCCTGGAAGCACAATGAGAAAATATGTTCATGTTTATTGGTTAACAAGAGACTTGAAATAACACAAACATAACAAAAAAGGATACTGTTTATAGCAGGTACACCTAAACCTATAGCAGAACAACATTATTAAACCTTAACATAAATAACCAGTCTCAAATATAGGTGGTATAAATTTCACTAGTGATGTAACAAATCTTCCGAAGTTCAGACCAAATTTTAAATTTTGTCTTTTGTGTGCATTTGACTGAATGCTGGACTTTTTGTTTGCTTGTTGGGTGTGTGTGTATATATATATACACACACATATACACACACACACATATATATAAATATTACATATATCTCAGCACCTTATCCTGCACTGCACTTGAGGATGAGGCATAATTCATAAAATTTCACAATTTTATTGTACTTGAAGTATATAAAGAGTCATATTAACAACCAAATACCAAATCAACGAATCCACAAAGGTGCATGCATGGAAATCCCAAACCCGCAGGGTGGAAGGTACCAATGCTCGGTGGGGCAAGGATGGGCAAAGAGATCACCAGATGACTTGAGCAGTGGTGACACTAGCTGCCGGGGACTCCAATCTTCGTCCCTCCGCGGCCGGAAGTGACATCAGCGGATGGCCGGCAGTGATGCAGAATAAGGACCCGGGACAGTATACCCGGGAAGGTGCCATGGTAATGGCACCAGTTAATGATGTATTGCCACTCTGTACAGGACTGAAAACACTTCAGGCTTGAACTCGAACAGGAGTCGACTCTCACTGGTAGATGGTGGGCATGTGGACAGTGTAGAACGCAGACCGGTGGAGTCAGATGACTACATGTTTCAGGGTAGGTCCCTTCGTCAGGTAACATGACTCGCGTCAGCCAAGAGAACTAAATATAAAGGGGAAGCTGGGAATTGGACCAACCCCCAAACAGTTAACCCCATGTCGCCTGGTTAACAATAACCATAACCAAGAATAATAATTACACAAAATAAAAATATATTACTTCACATTATTATAAAAGTTGCTAAAAACAAGGCCCTATAAAAGTAAAGCTGTATAAAACCAAAAGGGAAAACTCCAGAAAGAGAACAAGAAACCAAGAGTAAACAGATAACATCACAAAATGGTATGGACTTTAAGATCCTCATTTAACCCATTAGGGGACATGGAATCAAGCGTGTAGATCCAGGTGGTTTCTCACCTGCATAAAAATGTAAATTTCTCAATCTCAGACAGAGAACCATCCGGTATATGTTCAATAGCTGGGACCTCAAGAGAACTTATTATGGTGGGAGGCAAACTGGCGTGGGACACTATGAAAATCTTTTTTCTTTATTTGATTAGCCTACTATGTTCACCTACGCACTTGCATGAGGTTCGAGTGGTACATTTCACTGTAGTACATAAATGACAATCTGGGTGCAACAAGTAATAAATTGTCTGATAATATATGGATGTCCCAAACCGTCAGTAAAGTTGGTCTACCCATGCTGAATAAATTGACATAAATCAGACAGCCACGCTTTTTGCACAAAAACATTCCAACCCTGTTGTAAAAAAAAGGTCTAATATCAGTGCATTTTTTATTAACTGAACCCTTTAATTTACTAGGTGCAATTTGGTTATTTAATGTTCTTGCTTGTCTAAAAGTAAGCCGAGGGGTTGCGGGTAGGTGAGGGCCTAACTTGGGGTCTGATTGCAATATATGCCAGTGATGTAGTCTATTGCTCTGAAATCACTATTGAATCCTGTAATGAACCTCACATTAGGTTCATTGTGAACCAATAATCCTTTTTTGGAGGAGAAGCAATGGGACCCGCTAGTAAGCTTACAAGGCTTCTGTCAATAGATCATCAGGATAGCCCTTCTTCCTAAACCTGTCCATTAGAATTTGACTCTGGGTTATATAGTCAATTTTGGTACTATTCCTTCTAATTCTGTGGAATTGATCTTTGGGTATATTATTCTTCCATGAGCGAAGATGGCGACTTGTGTAGAACAGGTATGAATTACCTAATGTGGGTTTGCAATAATTCTTAGTGATAATTTGATGCTTCTCATGGGTGAGTTCTAATTCCCAAAAAACAAGACTATTGGAGTCAATGACATGAGTGAAATTCAACCCTAGCTCAGTATTGCAATGACAAACTCCAAAAAAGCTTCAGTAGTACCATCCCAAATTAGAAGCACATCGTCAATATATCTGCAATAAAAAAAAAAAACTATGTGTCTGAAAAAAAGCGTAATGGTCCCAAATGGTCATTTCCTCCCAGCGCCCCATGGATGTTCGCATAACAGTGTGAAAATGGCACCTATAGTCGTTCCCATGATTTGGAGGTAGAATTTATAAAGGAAAGTGAAATAGTTATGCTTGAGGCAGAATCTAGTTGCATGCAGTAAAAACTGTGCTCTTTGAGCAAAAACGTTTGAGGGCTTGTAGTCCAACCTCTTGTGGGATTGATGTGTATAGAGAGCGCACATTATGCGCACATGTACTGACTTTCCCACTTGTAATTTTCTAATAACTCAATCACATGTCCCGAGCCCCAGATAAAAGATGGGAGCTGGGTTACAACAGGCTGGAGAAAAAAAAACAAAAACTATATATTAGGACAGACCACTGGTGAAACTATTAATTCACGCAATTATAGGTCTCCCAGGTGGATTGGTGGTAGACTTTTGAATCTTGGGTAAGTGGTAGTAAGGGGTGCTACATTGGAAAGGCAGCAGAAATTGCTTTCTATTTTTGTGAGCACCCCTTCTCTGTGGGCTTTATCCACCTGACTCTTTAGGGCCGACTGAAAAAACAGGGAGTGGATCCTCCCTAAGGAGAACCTAGGTGTTTGGATCAGATAATAATCTGTGTGATTCACTGAGGTAATCCTCCCTAATTTGGATTACTAAACTGCCCCCCTTATCAGCTTGTTTAATGATAATTTTTTAATTATTCTCAAGATTTTTAAGAGCTATGTATTCTGCCTGAGACAGATTATAATTGTTGGACCGGACGTCTTGTCACAAAGATGTAACAGGTCCCTGTAGACCACTTAATAATAAGTTTCTATAAAAAGGTTCTTTTGACTGTAAGGGGAAAAAAAAAAAAATGAGTTTTGGACGAAAGCCTGTGTGTTCCACAGGTGGATCACAATAATTTCCTACATATTGACTATCAAGGTTACCATCCTCCACAGGTTGTAAGAGTTGTAAGTAAAGTGCCACTGCTGTCCAGATCAGTCTCACTGTCAGTCAATGAATCAGAAACGTTACTGTCCTTTGCTTCTTTGATAAAGTTCCTCTTAACCATTAAGCTCCGGATAAACAAAAATGGTTGAAGTCCCTAAATAAGCTGAAAACTTGTTAGCAGCAGTAGTATGGGGAGCAAAGTGGAGACCTTTCATTAATAAAGAGCCTTCCATATTATTAAGTGAATAGGTAAATATAAATATATATATTTTTTTTTTATTACACACCCTCCATCTCTTCACCTTTGACAATTATATTTTACTATTTAAAAAATACATACATACACACACACACATCACACACACACACACACACACACACTAACCGCTCACCCGTCCCACTGAATTAAATATGATATATACAAACATACGTAGGAACTAAAATAAGTATTGAACACTTCACCATTTTTCTAGGTAAATATATTTCTAAATGTGCTCAAATTAACATGAAGTTTTCACCACATGGTAACAACCCAAGCAATCCATACATACAAAGAAACAAAACAAATAAGTTCAGAAATTAAGTTAATTGCAAATCAGGATCCACAACTGGAGGGGACGCATATAAAACTGAACAACACAGGGCCTCCAAAAAAGTAGGCTGGTCTTTTTGAACGCATGAATAAGGGGAGGTGTAAAAAGGCATGGAAAGCCATGACACCCGCTGAAATCTACCAGTGAAATTAGAAAGCGAAAACCTGCCCTTTGTGGGCCATAATACAGAAGTGGAAAGTCCTTCAAACATAATTTCACCATGGAAAACCGGCCACAACCAGATGCTCCTCGCAAGATTTCTGACAGAGAAGTGAAAAGAATTATCAGAAGAGTTGTCTCCAAGAGCCAAGGAACACTTGTGGAGAGCTTCAGAAAGACCTGGAATTAGCAGGTACAATTTTTTCAAAGAAAACAATAAGTAATGCACTCAACCCCCATGGCCTGTATGCACACTCACCACGCAAGACTCCATTGCTGAAGAAAAAGCATGTTGAAGCTCGTTTCAAGTTTGCTGCACAACACTCCAGACAAGCCTGTGAAATAGGCCTTCCTAAGGGGGGAATACAGTCTGGTCAGAGGAGACCAAAATTGAACTCTTTGGATGCCATAATCCGAAAACGGAAACCTCCTCCTCAATGCTTTTGAGAAGAACGGTTTCCTTTCCGGGTCTTGCCACTCCTTCCTATCTTATGCACAGGTTAAGGGCCTAACCTCCTCCTTAATCTGGTAGCTCTCCAATCCCTGATACAGGGCCCCTCCCTTCCTCTGAGGGACCCTCACGCTGATTCCTCCTCAGACTGGGACTACCATGTTTTAAGGTCAAATGGCACTGCACACATCACCTCAATAACACCATACCAACAGTGAAGCTTGGAGGGGGGAACATCATGGTGTGGGGCACTTTTTCAGAATACGGTACTGGCAAACTTCATGTCATTTCAGGAAGGATGAATGGAAAAATGTACCAAAACATTCTTGATAAAAATCTGCTGCCATCTACCAGCATGATGAAGATGAAATGAGGGTGGACATTCCAGCAAGACAATGATCCCGAACACAAAGCCAAGGAAACTCTCAATGGTTTCCAAGAAAGAAAAATAAATCTGCTAGAATGGCCCAGTCAATCACCTGACTAGAATCCAATACAAAGTCTATGGAAAGAACTAAAGATCAGAGTTCATAGAAGAGGCCCACAAAAAAACTTTCAAGTTTTGAAGACAGTGTGTCAAAAGAATAGGCCAAAATCACACCTGACCAATGCATGCGACTAGTTTCTCCATACAGGATAAATATATATATATTTTTTTTATTTACACACCCTCCATCTCTTCACCTTTGACAATATTTTACTATTTTACATTTACATACATACACACACACACACACCACTGTGAATTAAATATGATATATACAAACATCTTCAAGCTTTATTTAAAATTAAAGTTAAGTGCAATAAAACAACAAAGGATTCTCTCTCTCTCTTTCTGGAAGGTCCCCAACTCTCCCATTCATACATACACACATACTATGGCTAATGTAGACAGGAGCCAATTAACCTACCAACCAGCATGTCCTTGGGGTGTGGGAGAAAACCGTGTACACACACATTTTATATATATATATATATATATATATTATTATACAGCACTTATATAGCGCCGACAGTTTGCTCAGCGCTTTACATTATGGAGGAAGACAGTACACTAACAATACAGTTCAATACAAGATGGATTAGAGGGCCCTGCTCCTTGGAGCTTACAATCTAGGATATATATTTATTACATATATATATATATATAGATATTTATTACATACACATATATATATATATATATATATATATATATATATATATATATATATATATATATATATATATATATATATATATATATATATATATATATATATACACACACACACACACACACACACACACACACACACGCACACGTATTTGATCCCTTGCTGATTTTGAATGTTTGCCCACTCAGAAAGAAATATATAAAAAAATCGAAGGGTAGGTGTATCGTAGACAGAATAGCAACAAAAAATTCAAAAGAAATGCATGTCTAACAAATTATGCACTGATTTGCATGTTCATGGGGGAAATAAGTATTTGATCCCCTTCACAAAACATGACTTAGTACTCGGTGGCAAATCCCTTGTTGGCAATCACAGAGGTCAGACGTTTCCTGTAGTTGCCCAGCAGGTTTTCACACATCTTAGGAGGTATTTTGGCCCACTCCTCTTGGCAGATCCTCTCCAAGTCATTAAGGTTTGGTGGCTGACGTTTGGCAACTCGAACTTTCAGCTCCCTCCACAGATTTTCAATTGGATTAAGGTTTGGAGACTGGCTAGGCCACTCCAGGACCTTAATGTGCTTCTTCTTGAGTCACTCCTTTTGTTGCCTTGGCCATGTGTTTTAGGTCATTGTCATGCTGGAACACCCATCCACGACCCATTTTCAATGCCCTGGCTGAGGTTCTCACCCAAGATTTGACAGTACATTGCCCCGTCCATCGGCCCTTTGATGCGGTGCAGTTGTCCTGTCCCCTTAGCAGAAAAACACCCCAAAAGCAGAATGTTTCCACCACCATGTTTGACAGTTGGGATGGTGTTCTTGGGGTCATAGGCAGCATACCTCCTCCTCCAAACACGGCAAGTTAAGTTGATGCCAAAGAGCTCGATTTTGGTTTCATCTGACCACAACACTTTCAACCAGTCCTCCTCTGCATCATTCAGATGTTCAGTGGCAAACTTCAGATGGGCCTGAACATGTGCATTCTTGAGCAGAGGGACCTTACGGGCACTGCAGGATTTCAATCCTTGTCGGCGTAGTGCGTTACCAATTGTTTTCTTGGTGACTGTGGTCCCAGCTGCCTGGAGATCATTGACAAGATCCTTGCGTGTAGTTCTGGGATGATTCCTCACTGTTCTCATGATCATTGACACTCCACAAGGTGAGATCTTGCATGGTGCACCAGACCTAGGGAGACTGACAGTTGTTTTGTGTTTTTTTCAATTTGCAAATGATTGCAGCAACTGTTGTCACCTTTTCACCAAGCTGCTTGGCGATAGTTTGGTAGCCCAGTCCAGCCTTGTGTAGGTCTACAATCTTGTCCCTGACATCCTTGGACAGATCTTTGCTCTTTGCCACGGTGGAGAGTTTGGAATCTGATTGTTTGATTGCTCCTGTGGACAGGCGTCTTTTATACAGTTAACAAAATGAGATTAGCAGCACTCCCTTTAAGAGACTGTTTTTAATCTCAGCTTGTTACCTGTATGAAAGACACCTGGTAGCCAGAAATCCTGCTCAGTGATAGGGGATCAAATACTTATTTCCCTCATGAACATGCAAATCAGTGCATAATTTGTTAGACATGCATTTCTTTTGACTTTTTTGTTGCTATACTGTGTCAGTGTTACAATGCAACTACCATTCGATTTTTAGAAGGATGATGATCATGTGAAGCCATTTATTATCAAATAGTTGTTTGGCTCCTTTTTAAAATCATAATGATAACAGAAATCACCCAAATGGCCATGATCAAAAGTTTACATACCCTGGAATGTTTGGCCTTGGTACAGACACACAAGGTGACACACGGGTTAAAATGCCAATTAGAGGTTAATGTCCCACATTTGTGGCTTTTTAAATTGCAATTAGTGTCAGTGTATAAATAGTCAATGAGTTTGTTAGCTCTTACGTGGAAGAACTGACTAGGCTAGATACTGAGCCATGGGGATCAGAAAAGAACTGTCAAAAGTCCTGCGTAACAAGGTAATGGAATTTTATAAAGATGGAAAAGGACATAGAAAAGATGTCCAAAGCCTTGAATATTCCAATCAGTACTGTTAAATCACCTATTAAGAAGTGGAACGTTCGGGGATCTCTTGATACCAAGCCAAGGTCAGGTAGACCAAGAAAGATTGCAGCCATAACTAACATGGCATGTCAGTCATATTTTCAATATCAATGCCAAAATTTCACAATTTCTGCCAGGGTATGCAAACTTTTGAGCACAACTGTAAATATATATTTATATTATCAGCTTCCTACCTGTCAGTATTTAAAATTATTTAAGCCTGGATTCACACTGATGCGATGCGGAATATCGCATGTGATTCGCACAGGAACTGCACCGCATTCTCTGCGGTGTGATTTGAGCTATACATTTTGTATTGCTCAAATTGTGCTGCATCCACACCAAAAAGGTGCAGGACCCTTTTTTTGGTCCACACTAGAATTGTATCACATCGGAATTCACACCCATGTAATCCGATTCTGCACATCGCACTGCATTTTGCGAACCTATCTCGGGGTGTTGTTAACATACACACCCGCATCAGTTCGCATGAACGGTGTGTGATTGTGATGCGGTGCGGAATGCGCACAGAAATCGCTGCAAATTCCGCACCGCATCAGTGTGAACCCAGGCTAAAAGTTAGTTTTGTTGTTTAACAAACATGTCATACTTACCTGCTCTGTGCTAAGCAGCCCCGATCCCCCTTCTTTTGGGGATCCTCCCTGGCGCTCCTGGTTCCTTTCCCTGCCGAGTCCTGACCATAAGCAAGCAGCCCCCGAGATGGCTCTGTGTGTCCATAGACAATGGCTCCAGCTACTATCTCTGAGCCTTTCGCGCATAGTGCTGGATCAAGATCGAGCTCATGTAAGTTTTATGCAGCAGGTTTTCTACCTTAATGCATAGATTTTTTAGCATGCTTTCATTATATCTGAAAAGTGGGGCCAATTTTAAATTTCTGCTGCTATATGTTGGGAACATTTCCCATCCACATACCTGGCAGTATAAGAAATCACGGACTTTGGAAAAATGATCCTGGTAATCATTTTTCAGCACAATTTGAGCCCAACGAAGACGGAGTTCAGCATTGGTGGCTTCCGAAATCTTTGTATAATATTTTCCAAGCTCTTCCACATTACCTTTAAAAACAGGATAAGAAATGTAAATAAATGAAGCTTTAGCAGAATGCCTTTTACTTATTTATACTATTCTGTAAACTCTACCTACAATTTATTGGTTGCCATTAAGTGATATGTTATATTTGAAATAGTTAATTAACTCTCACAAGTGTGCCATTACTTTACTTAAAGCAGAACTATACTTTACAGCCAAGCAAGCCATCATTTTAGTCTCTGATCCCCAGTTGCCATGGTGCTGCATGTGATCGGTTTTGACTCCAGCCATTTAGCTTGTCAGTTTGGTTGAGAGCAAAGCAACTATGACAGTTAACATTAATGCCATGCCTTGAATGTAACCGTTTTGGGAAATGTAAATTATTGGGTTTAGTTCTGCTTTAACATATTTTCTTACCAGGTGGTAGAGGGGACTTTGCAAGAACCCGATCCAAAAAGTATACTATCTGATATGTTTTCCAAGAAGAAACGTCCATTTTTCCAATAGCTTGCATGTCCAGTGGAGAAGAGGACCAGAGATCAGCCAAATCATCAGCTGGTTTCATGAGCTTAGTACCAACAGACAGGTCTGGCAAATAAGCAGGCCAACCAGGGGTATCTAGCCAATGGTCAAATTCCAAACCTGAGGAAAAAAAAATAATAATAATAAGAACAATACATACAAACAGCTGATTTGCATTGTTGTGAAAACAGAAAAAAAATAAAGATGCCAACAGATCTGGAGGTAGACTGAACAATCCCACTAGCTGTAATCAAGGAAGTTTATTGCAATTAAGTGGAAGAACCACACATCTATAGTCATCCCTGAATAAGTGAAGGGGCAAGCCCACTTAAAAACCCAGCTTTAAACTTACCACTAACTCTATTTCCAGCAATCTAACAGTAAAGCCCTTGAGAGATGGAGCTCCTCCCACAGGGACAAGAAACACATTGCCCAAGGCAGTCCTGCAGGCACATCGTTTATATGAAAACCAAAGGATGACTCTTAAAATTACAACATCATAATCAAATAAAAAAAAACAAACAAAATTCCATAAAATAGGGGGTGGGGGGGGGGGGAGAACACTCTGTCCTGGAAGGCTACTGGTAATAGAGTTAACTCTGGATTTTCCCACAGTTGTCTTTCAAGACAGCCTGTAAGTGTGGAGCAAGAACGTGCCACCTTTGGGGACCACTGCTTTCAGGAGATTCCACACAAAAGCATGACTTTCTCTAGACAAAGTGGCAGCCTTACAAATTTGGTCCATAGTGCCACCAGCCTTCTCTGCCCAAGGTGTAGTCAATGATCTAGTCAAATGTGCGATCTAGTCAAATGTGCATTCAGGAATTGCGGAGACTTGGTGTCCATGACCTTGTAAGCTTCCAAAATGGCTAACATAATCCAATGGGTCAAAGCAGCTTTGGAAGCTTGCTTCCCTTTGTGCTTACCTGTGAAAAGCACAAGCAAGGCCTCTGAAACTCAAAAGTCTTTTGAAGCACTAAGATAAGATAAAAGACATTTACGAAACATCCAAAAACAGAGCCTCCCTTCGTTATCATTAGCAGACTGGCTAAGACAGAAAGATGGCAGTACTACGTCCTGTGAATGGTGAAAAGCCAAAAGAGATTTTTGGCAAAAAAGCTGGGTATGTTTTCAGAGTTCTGTCAAATTCTAACGAGTACCCAACTTCTATTATCTTTCAAAATAAATTGTTGTAAGAATCCTTTTTGTCATTGTGGCAGGAACTCACTTAAAGCATAGTTTGTCCTTTGGGAACAGGTTACATGTTTTAGCTGTTTTTAGTGTGGCATATGTAACATGTTCCTGCTCCTGAAGCTCTCACAGTGATCCTTCCCTCTCTGAGACAGTGGGGATCTTCTCCCCGCACCCGCTGTTACAATTTGAAAAAAGAGCACAGCTTCTGTGAATGAATGCCTACAAGTACCGTCAGCCTTTGTGGCTGATGGCTTGTAGTTCTCAAGGAAATGAAAAGGGAGATGGGGAGTGCCCTCATGTTTCCTCCTGCCTTTACACCAGAAGGGATGCCAAGGGCCACAAAACATCATAGATACACACACAGTTAGGTCCATGTGTATTTGGACACAGGCACAATTTTAGTTTTTTTTCAGTTACCGTATTTTTCGCTCCATAAGACGCGCCTAGGTTTTAGAGGAGAAAAACTAGAAAAAAATATTCTGAACCAATGGACTGCAGACACGGTACAGGGGATGACCAGAGACCGCGGACACGCTACAGGGGATGACCAGAGACCGCGGACACGCTACAGGGGATGACCAGAGACCGCGGACACGCTACAGGGGATGACCAGAGACCGCGGACACGCTACAGGGGATGACCAGAGACCGCGGACACGCTACAGGGGATGACCAGAGACCGCGGACACGCTACAGGGGATGACCAGAGACCGCGGACACGCTACAGGGGATGACCAGAGACCGCGGACACGCTACAGGGGATGACCAGAGACCGCGGACACGCTGCAGGGGATGACCAGAGACCGCGGACACGCTGCAGGGGATGACCAGAGACCGCGGACACGGTGCAGGGGATGACCAGAGACCGGGACACGGTGCAGGGGATGACCAGAGACCGCAGACAGTGGTGCAGGGGATGACCAGAGACCGCAGACAGTGGTGCAGGGGATGACCAGAGACCGCAGACAGTGGTGCAGGGGATGACCAGAGACCGCAGACAGTGGTGCAGGGGATGACCAGAGACCGCAGACAGTGGTGCAGGGGATGACCAGAGACCGCAGACAGTGGTGCAGGGGATGACCAGAGACCGCAGACAGTGGTGCAGGGGATGACCAGAGACCGCAGACAGTGGTGCAGGGGATGACCAGAGACCGCAGACAGTGGTGCAGGGGATGACCAGAGACCGCAGACAGTGGTGCAGGGGATGACCAGAGACCGCAGACAGTGGTGCAGGGGATGACCAGAGACCGCAGACAGTGGTGCAGGGGATGACCAGAGACCGCAGACAGTGGTGCAGGGGATGACCAGAGACCGCGGACAGTGGTGCAGGGGATGACCAGAGACCGCGGACAGTGGTGCAGGGGATGACCAGAGACCGCGGACAGTGGTGCAGGGGATGACCAGAGACCGCGGACAGTGGTGCAGGGGATGACCAGAGACCGCGGACAGTGGTGCAGGGGATGACCAGAGACCGCGGACAGTGGTGCAGGGGATGACCAGAAACCGCGGACAGTGGTGCAGGGGATGACCAGAGACCGCGGACAGTGGTGCAGGGGATGACCAGAGACCGCGGACAGTGGTGCAGGGGATGGCCAGAGACTGCAGACAGTGCAGGGGATGGCCAGAGACTGCAGACAGTGCAGGGGATGGCCAGAGACTGCAGACAGTGCAGGGGATGGCCAGAGACTGCAGACAGTGCAGGGGATGGCCAGAGACTGCAGACAGTGCAGGGGATGGCCAGAGACTGCAGACAGTGCAGGGGATGGCCAGAGACTGCAGACAGTGCAGGGGATGGCCAGAGACTGCAGACAGTGCAGGGGATGGCCAGAGACTGCAGACAGTGCAGGGGATGGCCAGAGACTGCAGACAGTGGGTGCAGGGGATGGCCAGAGACTGCAGACAGTGCAGGGGATGGCCAGAGACTGCAGACAGTGCAGGGGGGATGGCCAGAGACTGCAGACAGTGCAGGGGATGGCCAGAGACTGCAGACAGTGCAGGGGATGGCCAGAGACTGCAGACAGTGCAGGGGATGGCCAGAGACTGCAGACAGTGCAGGGGATGGCCAGAGACTGCAGACAGTGCAGGGGATGGCCAGAGACTGCAGACAGTGCAGGGGATGGCCAGAGACTGCAGACAGTGCAGGGGATGGCCAGAGACTGCAGACAGTGCAGGGGATGGCCAGAGACTGCAGACAGTGCAGGGGATGGCCAGAGACTGCAGACAGTGCAGGGGATGGCCAGAGACTGCAGACAGTGCAGGGGATGGCCAGAGACTGCAGACAGTGCAGGGGATGGCCAGAAACTGCAGACAGTGCAGGGGATGGCCAGAGACTGCAGACAGTGCAGGGGATGGCCAGAGACTGCAGACAGTGCAGGGGATGGCCAGAGACTGCAGACAGTAAAAGGAGCTGACCAGAGACTGCGGACCTTTGAGGAGGGAGGGGGAGCGGGTACCTGAATTTGACACTTCCACGGAGTTGTCCTTCCTCCTCCTTCCCGCATCGGCTTCTGTGACAGCCGGGTGCCCACTGCGCATGTGCGAGAAGCGCTGCGCTTTGTGAATGGCCCGGAGCCTTCTGGGACCTGTCATGTGTCCCAGAAGACACCGGACCATTCACAAAGCACAGCGCTTCTCGCGCATGCGCAGTGGGCACCCGGCTGTCACAGATGACGACGCGGGAAGACTGCAGCGCTGGAGGGAGGGACAGGTAAGGTCCTGCAGGAGAGAAGAGCTGAGCGGCCGGCCCGATATTCTGACATCACGGCGGCAGAAATACCGGACCGATCGCTTTATATTCGCTCCATAAGAGGCACTGACATTTTCCCCCCTTTTTTGGGGGGAAAAATGCATCTTACGGAGCGAAAAATACGGTACTTGCTAAAAACATATTCAAGCTATAATCTCAGGTTTAAGTTGAGGGTACGTACATCCAAATTGGAGGAAGGGTTTAGGAATTACAGCTCTTAAAAGTAGCCATCCCCCCTTTTTCAAAGGACCAAAAGTAATTGGACAAATTAAAATCATAAATAAAATGTTTATTTGCAATATTTTGCTGAGAATCCTGTACTGGCAATGACTGCCTGAAGCCTGGAACCCATGGACATTACCAAAGACTAAGTTTCCTCCTTTCTGATGCTTTGCCAGGCTCTAACTGCAGCTGTCTTCTTTTGTTCTTTGCAGGTCTTTCTGCCTTTAGTTTTGCCTTCAGCAAGTGAAATGCATGCTCAATGGGGTTGAGATCAGGTGATTGACTCGGCCATTGCAGAATATTCCACTTCTTTTCCTTCAAAAGCTCCTGGGTTGCTTTTGCAGTGTGTTTTGGATCATTGTCCATGTGTACTCTGAAGCACCGTCCAATCACCTTAGCTGCATTTGGCTGAATCTAGGCTGACAGTATATCTCTAAACACTGCAGAATTCATCCAGCTGCTTCTGTTTTGTCACATCATCAATAAACACCAATGACCCAGTGCCACTGGAAGCCATGCATGCCCATGCTGTCACACTGCCTCCACCATGTTGTACAGATGACGTTGTGTGCTTTGGATCATGAGCTGTTCCAAGCCTTCTCCACACTTTTTTCTTCCCGTCATTCTGGTACAGATTAATCTTCGTTTCATCCATCAAAAGAAAACTTTTCCAGAAATGGTCTGGCTTTTTTAGATGTTTTTTGGCAAAGCCTAATCTGGCTTTCCTATTCTTCAGACTTATGAATGGTATGCACCTTGTTGTGAACCCTCTGTATTACCTCTTGTGAAGTCTTCTCTTGATTGTAGACTTTGACACTGATACGCCCACCTCCTGCAGAGTGTCCTTCACTTGTCTGGATGTTGTGAATCAGTTTTTCTTTACCATAGAGAGGCTCCTGCGATCATCCACCACTGTTGTCTTCCATGGACAGTCATGCCTTTTTATGCTGCTGAGCTCACCCATGCGTTCTTCTTTCCTCAGAATGTACCAATCTGTTGATTTGGCCACTCCTAATGTTGCTGCTATCTCTCTGATCGATTTGTTTCATTTTTGAATCCTTACACTGGCCTGTTTCACTTGCATGGACAGCTTAACAAGGGGGCTGCCAGATCCCCCCCCCCCCCCTCCCCCCCCCCCATGTGAATTAGTATGGGGCACATGGTACCCTTACTCATTCACAAAAAAACAAAAAGTGTAGTGTGAAAAAAAGACAGGACATGGGCTTTGACAAGTCCTTTATTAAAAGAGAACACTAAAAGAATGTCCCCTGCAGTGTATCCAATGTCAATCACAATGCCCGCGTCAACGCCCCTTACACAGCTTTAGGCCTGGGTCCCCCCAGGCCTGAGCACCAACATTTCCCTAGGCCTGGCTACTTGCCATCTCACCGAATCCACCCACTTGTCATCCCACCAAGTCCTTCAGTGCACCCAATTTTATTTTAACATTCTTACAACTTAATATTTGAAAATGAAGAGTGTATTCCAAGTCATCAGTGCTTTCAAGATTTAACAGTTAAGGCCCCTTTCACACTGGTGGACCGATTGGGTCTACCTGTCCGTTTTTCAGGTGGACCCAATCGGACGCCTCATTGTATTCTATGGAGCGCTGGATGTCAACAGACATGTGTCCTTTGACACCCGCCGGTATCCGATTCAATCAGATTGGATGGAAACGGACAGGCAATCCGTTTCCATCTCACTGTCCCATAGGAATCAGCAGGCCGTGTCCGTGTTTGTGTCCGCTCCAACATGGACCTGTCATCCACTTGCACATCAGGGATCAGCGGGGAGATCCCGCGTTGAACAAACAGATCCACTGACAGGTCCGCCTCATGTGAAAGGGGCCTAAGGAATTATATTTTGGCCAAAAAATATGAAGCCTCCCTCCACTACATTTCACCTCTCCTCCCTTGACCTGCCCATTTCACAGTGAAATGGGCATGTAACAGAAAGGGGGTAAACTTTTCACCCTACCTTCCTTCGGATGGCCATTTCATTCCAATGCAGCAAAGGGATGGTCCAATCCAGCAGAGACATCCCCATTTATTCAGCAAAGAGACAGCCCAGTCCAGCAATGAGACAGCCCAATATAGCAGACAGACATCCCCTCAAGCAAAGAGACAGCCCACTATAGGAAAAAGAGATCCCCTCCAGCAAAGAGACAGCCCAATATAGCAAAGAGACAGCCCAATATAGCAAAGAGGATATAGCAAAGAGACAGCCCAATATAGCAAAGAGACAGCCCAATATAGCAAAGAGACAGCCCAATATAGCAAAGAGACAGACCCAATAACAGCCCCTCCAGAAAAGAGACATTCCCTCCAGATCCCTTCAGCAAGAAACAGCCCAAAAACATCAGTTCAGCTCACAGATATAGGAATTGTACAGCAGCAAAGTAGCACCAACAAATCTGCCTTTATTCATCTCCATTATATATGGGAAATAGTAGTTTAAACCAGATTGATAAGGGTGCTTGTGTTTCCTTTCCAGGTCACATGAAGCACAAGGACATTGCATTTCTGTCTAGATCAACAGGTATTTTCTGCAGGATGCAGCCACCACATCGGAGGACCGGTAAACGTCATTACATTTTTCAATCAATCAGTAAGCTCCTATATTATAACCCTTCACACAAAATCACAACTTTCTCCCTAGAAAGTATATAATCTAATAAATCCTTTTGTGACACACATGAATCCCCAAATAAATAAATAAATAAGATAAAATAAAAACTCCAATTATTAATATACTCAATATAACTTCCACTAAATTGTGTTTACATAAATCCACACTCAAAAAAATAGACCCAAAAAAAATTATTATTAAATATATAAATTATATATAAATTTATATATACAATTGTGTTCAATAAACCCAAAGTGTCCAACTCCCAAAAAAGATTTTTCCTTTCAATCCAGTAAGACAGAAATTGGTTCTAAAACTCCATGATCACCTCAAAGAAAAAAATAGAAAAGAGAAAATTCATAGTGTATTACCCTTTTAAATATAAATATATATACACTCCACTCTGTGCACAACACAAAACGCACCCCCAAAAATTATTTTGTGAAAATTATATCCAATATATATCACAATCCAAATAAAAATAAATAGGTGAAACACAATATAAATAAATTAAATAAAATAAAACCCAAATCGTGAAAAAAAAAAACGTGATCACTCCAATCACAAGTGAATAGTGATACTAGGTACTAGTACCCTCTAAACTCCAGCCAAAAGTGATGCTAGGTACTATTACCCTCTTGCAGTATTTTCAAGCATGGGCTGACATAGGAAATCCGTATCTCTCAATCCTTCGCTTTCATAGATATTCCTCCCAACTCCTCATAAAAGCATAGCACACAGGAGGACACACGAGTGTGTCCTCCTGTGTGCTATGCTTTTATGAGGAGTTGGGAGGAGTATCTATGAAAGCGAAGGATTGAGAGATACGGATTTCCTATGTCAGCCCATGCTTGAAAATACTGCAAGAGGGTAATAGTACCTAGCATCACTTTTGGCTGGAGTTTAGAGGGTACTAGTACCTAGTATCACTATACACTTGTGATTGGAGTGATCACGTTTTTTTTTTTCACGATTTGGGTTTTATTTTATTTATTTATATTGTGTTTCACCTATTTATTTTTATTTGGATTGTGATATATATTGGATATAATTTTCACAGAATAATTTTTGGGGGTGCGTTTTGTGTTGTGCACAGAGTGGAGTGTATATATATTTATATTTTAAAAGGGTAATACACTATGAATTTTCTCTTTTCTATTTTTTTCTTTGAGGTGATCATGGAGTTTTAGAACCAATTTCTGTCTTACTGGATTGAAAGGAAAAATCTTTTTTGGGACTTGGACACTTTGGGTTTATTGAACACAATTGTATATATAAACTTATATATAATTTATATATTTAATAATAATTTTTTTTGGGTCTATTTTTTTGAGTGTGGATTTATGTAAACACAATTTAGTGGAAGTTATATTGAGTATATTAATAATTGGAGTTTTTATTTTATCTTATTTATTTATTTGGGGATTCATGTGTGTCACAAAAGGATTTATTAGGTCATTACATTTTTGTTTTTAAGTTTAGAAGGAATAAGGATGTGAACTATTAACTTTCCTGTGCTTATTGCTTTGACTGCACTTCTCTCCTCCATGTAACTGAACATGAGGCAAAAGGTGTGCTTTCTCATGAGATGGAAAAAAAAATCAGTTGCACAAACAGACCCATCATTAATTTTAGTGTGTCAGCCACCAATGCATTGTGCCCAGTGACTGAGATTCTCACCCTGCAAAAGTGCCTCTGATTTGCAATATAAACTAAATACAGCATCAGCATTTTCAATGAAGAGAAGATCCATATGTGTTTTATACACATTATGTATATTTGAAAAGTCCTAGACTGGTGTAAATGAATGCTTTGCAAAAAAACAGAAATAAAGAATGTACAGGTATAGAGGAAAAAAATATCTACATACAATACAAGGGCTGGAATTAAGAATTGATTTAGACGTACCCTTGATTTTATCAACATTCTTAGCTTTAAGCTCTGGGAAGTACTCTAAATAAAATGCCAAGGCTTCATCAGCAGTTATGCTCTGAAATTTAAATTTGTCAACATAAGCCTGAAAAAGAACAAAGATAATAATCATTGCATTTGCTAGAACCATTACCTTCTCATTCTTCTTTTCAAATGTAATACTGCTTTAAGGCAGTGTACCAATTAACAGAACAGACCTTCAAAAACGGTACTTCAAAAATACTTTCCACCTGAAAACATGTGGTCAAGCTGTATTTTTTCTGGCCTAAATCACTCCCCTTAAAGGTGCAATGGAAGAAGACAGGGGATGCACACAAGCCAAGTCTGCAATTCTTTGCAAAAATGATCTTATGCGCCAAATATTACATATTCAACTAACCCGGTGGTGTGGATTTTTAGGGCCTAAAACAGGAGTTGAGGGGGCAACAAAATGCCTCCTCACCACCTGTCGAACGCCATCTGAAAAGCAATCCACTGCTGATTGCTCTTCAGAAGCTGACCCATATATAAACAAGCTCGAAAACAATTTCAATAACTTAGTGAAAAAAAAAAATATGCCCCGTAGGTTAACAAAATACTTTGCAAGTATTTCTAAAAAATTTTTTGGAAATGAAAACCTTTCCCCACTGAACAATCCACTATTTCACAGGTGGGAATAAGATTGACAGTGCTGTTTCACAGGTTTGCAACTGCATGTAATTCCCACACAATCAGCCCCAATGTCATACAAGCCCAAAGCATTTGAGGGTTTGACCTAGGGTTTTAACTTTTGACAATCAAACCATTAAAGCAGTGGTTGCAAAAGGGGTAGAAACTAGTTCTAATTCACAACAGCAGCTGTGACTTTGTGTTATGCCAGGTACATTACTGCATGCATGTTAATGTACGTTGTCATGCGTTAATGTGCACTGCAGGAAGGCAGTGACTAGGCTACCATAAACACCACAAAGCATCTGCACCATTTATTTTAATGTACAACACCACAGCTGGTTCAAATACAAATGGCACCACAAACGTCACAACGTAAACCTGGCCTAAATGGTTTTCACTCAGATTTACTAACTTACCAATGGAATTGAAAGCCACCAAATCACGTCTACAGACTACTAAAAATTGCTGCCCTTTACTGCCCCATTTACCTTTGGGTCCTGGGGTTCACTTGTCTTCAAGAGTCGGGGACCCAGTAAGCTATGTTAGGAAAGAGTTGGAGGAGATTTTTGAACTTTAGTTCACCATTTTCTGTATTAATGGAGTCCAGAACAGCTCAGCCCTTCTAACTTCAGTGGTCCATTTAGACCACTCTGCTACCCTCATAAAAAGCTCATGTTACCACGTGGGTTTAGCATCACAGAAGGGTACGTTATCCTCTTTGTTGCAGCAACAAATTTCAAAATTCCAATTAAAAAAAAATAAACTGTACTAAAACAAACCCGTTAATACACATATACAACATGCAAGAAATTAGCATAGAAATACATACATAAACCTATTTTATATTATACATATAATGTATCCTACATGCACACTATTGGCAGAAGAATAATTCCAGGACCATCATTTTAGTTTAGCTTTAAAACCGATCAACTGGAAAGATATTTATTGTTTTGCCCAATTTAGGCGTCTTAGCTTTTCACCATTTCACAAGCATGCATTTTTGTACCTAGATATATACAGTCATGGCCGAAATTGTTGGCACCCTTGATATTTCTCCAGGAAATCATGTATTTCTCACGAAACGTATTGCATTAACACATGTTTTGCTATACACATGTTTATTCCCTTTGTGTGTATTGGGACAAAACAAAAAAAGGGAGGAAAGAAAGCAAATTCGACATAATGTCACACAAACCTCCAAAAATGGGCTGGACAAAAGTATTGGCACCCTTTCACAACTGCGGATAAATAAGAATGTTACAAGCATGTGATGCTCCTGTAAACTCACCTGGGGCAAGTAACAGGGTGTGGGCAATATAGAAATCACACCTGAAAGCAGATAAAAAGGAGAGACGTTCACTTAACCTTTGCATTGTGTGTCTGTCTGTGCCACACTAAGCATGGACAACAGAAAGAGGAGACGAGAACTGTCTGAGGACCTGAGAACCAAAATTGTGGCAAAATATCAACAATCTCAAGGTTACAAGTCCATCTCCAGAGAACTAGATTTGCCTTTGTCCACAGTGCGCAACATTATCAAGAATTTTGCAACCCATGGCACTGTAGCTAATCTCCCTGGTCGTGGACGGATGAGGAAAATTGATGAAAGATTGCAACGCAGAATAGTCCGGATGGTGGATAAGCAGCCCCAAACATGTTCCAAAGACATTCAAGCTGTCCTGCAGGCTCAGGGAGCATCAGTGTCAGCGCGAACTATCCGTCGACATTTAAATGAAATGAAACGCTATGGCAGGAGACCCAGGAGGACCCCACTGCTGACACAGAGACATAAAAAAGCAAGACTACAGTTTGCCAAAATGTACTTGAGTAAGCCAAAAGCCTTCTGGAAAACGTCTTGTGGACAGATGAGACCAAGATAGAGCTTTTCGGTAAAGCACATCATTCTACTGTTTACCGAAAACGGAATGAGGCCTACAAAGAACAAAACACAGTACCTACGGTAAAATATGGTGGAGGTTCAATGATGTTTTGGGGTTGTTTTGCTGCCTCTGGCACTGGGTGCCTTGACTGTGTGCAAGGCATCATGAAATCTGAGGATTACCAAAGGATTTTGGGTCGCACTGTAGGGCCCAGTGTCAGAAAGCTGGGTTTGCGTCCAAGATCCTGGGTCTTCCAGCAGGACAATGACCCCAAACATACGTCAAAAAGCACTCAGAAATGGATGGCAAAGAAGCGCTGGAGAGTTCTGAAGTGGCCAGCAATGAGCCCAGATCTAAATCCCATTGAACACCTGTGGAGAGATCTTAAAATTGCTGTTGGGAAAAGGTGTCCTTCCAATAAGAGAGACCTGGAGCTGTTTGCAAAGGAAGAGTGGTCCAAAATTCCGGGTGAGAGGTGTCAGAAGCTTATTGATGGTTATAGGAAGCGACTGATTTCAGTTATGTTTTCCAAAGGGTGTGCAACCAAATATTAAGTTAAGGGTGCCAATACTTTTGTCCAGCCCATTTTTGGGGTTTTGTGTGACATTATGTCATATTTGCTTTTCTGCCTCTGTTTTATATTTGTTCCAATACATACAAAGGGAATATAAACATGTGTATAGCAAAACATGTGTTAATGCAATACCTTTTTTGTGTGAAATACTTGATTTTCAGGAAAAATATCAAGGGTGCCAACAATTTCGGCCATGACTGTAACACAAATTCCAAAAAAGTTGGGACACTGTATAAAATCTGTATAAAACAGAATTTAATGATTTGCATAAACCCATATTTTATTCACAGTAGAAAATTATACCATAGAATGTTCAAAAATGAACAGTGTAGGTTTTAATTATGTGGTGCACCAGAACAGTGCACAATAAATTGTGAGTGCATTTTATTTTTTTTTTATTTAACCACTTGCCGCCCGGCCTATACTCAAAAGCTCTGTTGCATGACTGCGCAATTGTCATTCAAAGTGTGAGGGAGCTGAAACCTGAAAATTGCCCTGGGCAGGAAGGGGGTAAAAGTGCTCAGTATTGAAGTGGTTAATAAAAAGAAACTTATCAGAAAGCACTATGATTGACTTTATTTCTTGAGTGTATTTATAGGGGATTGGAGAATACCATATGAATCATATCTCTGAATGACATTTAGTGGGGTCGGGTACAAATTGGAAGTACATAAACCCATTTGAAAAGCCAGTAAGAGCGAGCTGAGCTGGTGGTACATAACCCCCTTAGAGAGGGCCTGATTTGACCTATTTTACTTATAGGTATGAGAAGATGAGAGCAAACAAAAAATGATACCAGATGGGTGATAATGATCAAGATAACATGTAGGTAAAGTATAATCATCAAATTAAACATAATAAATTGTGTAGGAGGGGTCAGATTGGTCCAAAATTCATTTTGCAGCAGAACAATGAGACCCCAAATATAAAGCCAAAGTTATAAAGAACTATCTTCAGTAAAACAAAGAAAAAGGAATCGTGGAAGAGATGGTATGGCCCCCAAAGAGCCCTAATCTCAACATCATTGTGTCTGTCTGGAATTACATGGACAGATATAAGCAACTGAGACTGAAAATCTGTGGTTAGTTCTGCTAGATATTTGAACAAGCTACCTGTCAAGGTCCTTAAAAACTGTACTTCTATACCTAGGAGAACTGATGCTATTTTAAAAAGCCAAGGATGGGCACACCAAACAATGATGTGATGTAGATTTTTTTTCTGTTTATGCACTTTGTAGGTTACACAATTAAAAATGATGCCATTAGTTTTGAAAGCATCCTAGCTTTACAACATTTTTCACAAGTGCCTAAACTTTTGCACAGTACTGTATACTGCACAATCCTTTTACAATGTATTTAGGATTTTTAATACCTGATAGGAACTTTAATTCTCAATAGTCTGTATGTCCCTACATCTACATTTACCTTAAGAAAAGTGTCAAATTTACTTTGATCCCCAACAAGGTAAGCAAGATAAGATACGAAGCAGAATCCTTTCTCATAAGGGGTCTCATTGTATGTGTCATCTGGATTCACTCCTGCACAGAAAACACAGAAAATACATATTAAAGCATATTACCTTAAATGTATATGTTATTTTTACTAGCATGTTCTTTATCAATAAAAACTCATTTCTTGGTATAACACAATACAGTCACAATTTGCAAGACTTCTAAATACAAGTGAACCTCTCATAAATGTAGCTCAGACATTTATTGTATTTCAGGAAAAAAAAGTGTTACATTTTAACCACTTGCCTACCGGCACTTATACCCCCTTCCTGCCCAGGCCAATTTCCAGCTTTCAGCACTGTCACACTTTGAATGACAATTGCGCAGTCATGCAACACTGTACCCATATGAAATTTTATAATTTTTTTTTGTGACAGAGCTTTATTTTGGTGGTATTTAATCACCTCTGGGTTTTTTATATTTTTCTTAAACAAACCAAAAACCACTGAAAATTTTGAAAAAAAAAAAGTTTTTTCTTAGTTTTTGTTATAAAATTTTGTAAATAAGTGATTTTTCTCCTTCACTGATGTGCACTAATGAGGCTGCAGTGATGGGCACTGATAGGCTGCACTGAAGGACACTGATGAGGAGGCACTGGTAGGTGGCACTGATGGGCACTGACAGGCATCACTGATGGGCACTGAAAGACAGCACTCATATATGGCACTGATAGGCGGCACTGATGCGCAGCACTGACTGGCCCTGATAGGCGGCACTGACTGGCACTGATTGGCAGCACTGATAGGTGGCACTGACTGGCAGTGATGGGTGACACTGAAAGGCAGCTCAGATGGGCACTGATATGTGGCATTGATGTGGCACTGATGGGCACTGGCAGGTGGCATGGATGAGCACTGACAGCTGGCACTGATGGCACTGGGACAGGTGGCACTGCTGGGGCTACACAGATCATCAGGGCACACTGATCATCAGTGCCCTGATGATCAGTGCACACTGATCATCAGTGCCCTGATGATCAGTGCACATGTCCCCTCTGCGGAATGCCAATTACCAGCTCTGCTCTCCTCTCGAGCTGTCAGCGTGACAGCTCGTGAGGAGAGAAATGCCGATAACTGGCATTTCCCTATTTACATGTGATCAGCTGTGATTGGAAACAGCTGATCACATGACCGAGCTGACATCTTCAGCTCTTTCCGTTGATCGGTAATCCGCTGTATCCGAGGGACACAGCGCACCGCCGATCACCACATCATATGACGTCCTCCCAGAACGAGAGAACCACCTTGCGCCCGTCATTGTACTATATGGCGGGCGGGAGGTGGTTAAACAAAACTACAAACACAATGAAATTAAAGTATAGTTTACTAGAGTATATGAGATACATTTTAGAACAGTTCACCATGCATTTGTATGAACCCATGTGTATGAAGACAAACTGATACCAAACTGACAATTATTTGGGTTATTCCCCTGACCTATTGTCATGTTTTCTCAGTCTCCTTTCAGACTAGTCTATCAGGGAAACAAGTATTCAACGAGGGAAGTCTGAATTCCCATCCTGCATGTTTATTTAATTTCAGCGCTTAAGCAAGATGACAGAAGTCACCAATAAAAACTGTTTGGTAGAGGTTTCTCACAGCCATGTTTTCCTTCAAGGCTCCATGAACAACTGACTGCCTGTTCACTGAGTGAGTCCTGTGAGTAGACTTCATGTATGGGCACAGGAAAAGAAAAAAAAAAAAAAAAAAAAAAAAAAACAAAAACACAAAATACAGAAAAACACCTTTTGATCTTGGCAGAAATCCAGTTGTCTGGTAACAAAGGTCACTACCTTTACTGTAGTATAACCTCAGCGTTGTTAGCCCAGTAAGTGAGCATTGTCATTTCAGGATAATAAATGTGTTACTGGTAGGTTCACTGGGCAAACATAAAATATAGTCTAATAGAATACTAAAAGAAAAAAGCAATAGAACTCAGATTGGTTTCACTTTTTACTCAATTTGCTTTTAATACTTACACAAATAGGAGGCCAGAATCCTACAAAAAAAAAAAAAAAAAAGGGGGCTAATAGTAATGGAAATAAAGGCTTTTACCCACCAGGTTCAATCTTGACTCTGAGCTTGTTTAAGGGATGGCCTTCTCCAGATGCATCCATGTGCTGACGAAGAAGAGCCCGTCCTGTGGCTGCTTCTAGACAACTGTATGCATGGCCTGTGAATAGGATTAAAACCTTGTCAGTTAGTAGAGAGAACAAGAGCTGAAATATTTTATTCTGGTATATATGTAAGATAGACAAACTGGAACAATGTACACTGGATAGAAAAAGTAGTATGAATATCAATTCCTGCAAGAGATACTGTACATTGACACCAACATACTGTAAGGTTTTACCATAGAGTTCAGTGGTAATCCTCCGCTGGGCATACATAGTAAAACCCTCATTCAGCCAGAAGTCTCCCCAGTTAGCATTGGTCACCAAGTTACCAAACCAGCTGTGGGATATTTCATGGATAATAACATCAGCCAGAGAACGATCGCCAGCCAGCAGACATGGGGTGACAAATGTGATACAAGGGTTCTCCATACCACCAAATGGAAACGATGGAGGCATGAACAAGACATCATACCTGAAAAGTCAGATACCCAGAAAGTTAGTCACGGGTCACAGTTTACAGTAAAAGCTGAAAACTTTATAATGGCATACAGGTTTGAATAAGAGACTATATAATCAGTATTTGCCAGGAAAGCCTTAATGTACACTGATAGAGAAGGCTAGAGGGGCTGGTTAAAATTTAAGCAGAAAACTCTGTGTACTCATTTAATAGGAAAAATACAAGTTATAAAAATAATATATTTATTTAAAAGAACATACTGTATTTTAGGCATGTATGGTGATATGTCTTAAGGATACGTGGCCAACTACTACTGCCCAGGAACATTAAAATAAATGTTCTTTTGGAACAGGCTGCAGTGAGGGGCTCAAGGTTTTCTTTAAAAGCACTGCAGAATGAGGCCGATTTACTGAAGGAGCCACTTCAGTCACATGGAGATGAAATGGTATGCAAGGCAGATTTCTTCCTTGTTCCTATTTATTACAGTGCAGACAAGCTGAGGGCAATGTTTATAAGTGGCCTGGGTCTGTGATGACAGCTTTCAAAGCACAGCAAAATAATGGACTAGCAAAGGACTAAAGCACTATATTATACAGTATTTATATACTGGCAACAGGTTGGGCAGCACCTTACAAAACAAAAAGCAAACAGTACATTTACAATATAGAAGGTTTAGTGGGGCATTGCTCTTGCAAACTTACAATTAAAATGGGCAAAATTATACAAATACAATTGGGAGGGATGAACTGACAGAGAAGCTAAAAGTACAGTTTTTAGCTGGGGACATGAGAGGAGGAATATTAGGAACTCAGTTTTGGACTGATAGAAGTTGGGAAAGTGGTGTAACATCAATGCCAATAAGTCAGTAAGTTCATTAGAGAGAAAAGGAAGCCAGATTTGGGAGTTGTCAGCATATAATTGTTTGATACTCCTTTTTATATTTACAAAGAGTTAATTTGTTTTAAATGTAAAGTGATCCTTTAAAACCTAGACTTAATGTAGAACTGTAGGAATTCTTTTCTGCATTTAAACAAGAGATGATAACCTCTATTGCTAACTGTGTCCCATTGGTGATATTCCCTTTACTTCCTTTCTTTCATAGTCACAAAAGAAGTTGGAAGTTTGAAAATCCTTCCAAAAGGTAGTCACCAGGATCATCAGAACTAGTGCAACCATTCAGAAAATGTATTGACCATTTTACAATAACAATCATTACTTGAAACATTTGTAGTTTCCTCACATTAAAAAAAGAAAGATTTCCCATCTATTCCCGTTCTGGTGCCCACTCAAAATGGTGAATCCCCCCCAAAGGAGACAGCAATAAAAACCTGGCAGGTGTTCTAATCACTCTTCACACTATCTAGAAAAAAAACTATGTATATATAAAAAAAAGTATATATATATTTTTTTTTTTTTTTTAAACACATTCAGTTGTACTTGAACCATTATACACATAGAAACACAGAAGTGCTAAATGTCTGAAAGAGAACAAAAATGACCAGAAACTCACCTGCCCCATACATAAGGCCCAAAGAGTTTTTCACCTACAGTTAGAAACTCCTCAATTACACCATTATATTCTTTTTTGGCAGCATCAATCAAGCATGGTTCTGCCCAAACCCTGCTCCTAAAAACAACAGATTGTTTTTCAGTGCAATGCTGTAAAAAAACGGAATGCAAAAAGAGCTCTGATTAAATATCACCCCATACCCTGGGCCCCACTTCTGCAGAAACAATATCCCCAACTACTAGAGCAACAAGATAAGAAGGAATAGGTTGTGTCATTTTGAAGATGAATGTATCACCATTACGATCCCAGTTATTGGCGCTCATAATTGCAGTGAAACCCTCAGGAACCTGCAAACACAAATTAAAAAAAATAATCATGACTGGGTTAACAGCACGGGTTCAATGATCAATATACACAAGCAATTTACTTTATACTTTTGTGCCTTTACAGCAGCCTCCCTCAACCAGGGGGAGTGCCTGCTGTGCTCTCTGCCTCCCCCTGCAGAACAATAGCCGGCTATGTGAAGGAAGGTACCGTACTGCAACTTTTTAAAAGGCTTTATAAAGGTGTCTGTGTGTACATGTCCGTGTGTGTGTATACATGTGTCCGTGTGTGTGTGTGTGTGTGTGTGTGTATGTATGTATGCGTATGTACATATGTGTGTTTATGTGTGTATATATACACACACACACACACACACACACACACGTGTCCTTGAGTGCGTGTGTATGTATAAAATATATATTATACATATACACACACATACATACGCCCTTGTGTGTGTACATGTGTGAGTTGTTGTCTGTATGTGTTTGTGTGTACACACGTGTCCATGTGTGTACATGTGTCCTTGTGTGTACATGTGTCCTTGTGTGACAGTGTGTCCGTGTGTATATACATAGGTCCGTGTGTCTGTATGTGCGTGTGTGTATATATGTGTCCTTGTGTGTGAGAGAGTGTCTGTATGCACACTACTTTTAATGCTGACCCCCTATTCCTGTAATATCAGAACTGCTTTTTTAGGGCTTGTTCATAACTGCTCCTCTGGAAAGCAATCCATGCTCAGATTACTTTTCAGAGGCATTTGGCAGGTGGCAATATGTTGCTTCCTCACCACCTGTTTTAACCCTATAGATGCAGCATCACACCACAACCAGGTGTAATGCACACAGTTGCAGGATGGTTGCAGTGCAGTCCCATGCACCTGGGGGTATACATCCAGTCATGGCCACATCATGTGTACACCCCCAGCTGCTACCTCTGCAGCTAAAGGGGGAGCAATTGGGAGTGGTAAAAACAGTTCAACCGTGTATTTTTACTGCCCCAACCTCATATATGAGCAAGCCGTTGGTTCACATCTGTGTGGCTGCAAGCTGTGTGTACAGCAGCCCATTGATTTAAGTGGACTGCCCTATCCGCAGAAATGCAGAGAAAGAAGTCCCTGACCTTTCTTTTAAAATTGTGCCACACCAAAAACACCCTGCGTTTTAAATGTGCGGGGTACCTTTAACAACGGAGGACACCCCCAAAGAGCAGAGCATTTGTCTGTGTGTCAGGAACGAGCATGATTTTGCATGCATTCCGCGACACACAGTAACGTGAACCAAGCCTTGGACAGGGGTGCCTCGAAACTGAACATACTTTTCAAGGGCGTCCCGACTAGAAAGGTTGAGAAACACTACTTTACAGAAATGTTGCCCTGACATGTAGGCCATATCTAATGGCTCATTTAGATGGATGCAGAGTTCCGTCCTCCATGTAGAGATGCTTTTTCGCTGCTTCTACATCCACCTCGGGGCTACGTGTAGGCAGCCCATAGAAGTGTAATGTGTTGCGCTATACAGTGATTATTATTATAATATATACAAACAATAATAATAAATAAAATCACCAAAAGTAAACTGAATACATGTCTCAAAGCAACCATCACATAAATAAAAAAATATAATAAAAGATAAAAACTCAAAGTCCACAGTGAATGTATTGAAATATATCAGCATAAATTAATAGTGGAAAATTAAAGATTAGAAGTCCACAGTGAGTGAACTGAAATATGTCAGCATTCAGTGCTCTTCTCTTCATCCACTAGCACCAGCGCTACCCATCTCCGCAGTGCAAATAAGATGCAGGCTTACCAGATTAAAATACCCCCTTATTCAGATAAACGCTCTATATGCTCCACCTTGGCTGGTTGCCAGTATCGCTCCTCAGGTGTATGATAAAATTCACAGCAGAAGTATATACATGCAAGATAGCAGATAGAGCACTCCTCATGGTGTAAAATCACTTAAACACATTTAATAGTATATGAAAATGCACTTACAGACAAAAGACATGCATATGCGAATCAATCACCAAGCCGGCATGGATAACAGCAAGTTCAGGTTCCTATATGTGATGACGTCATGGGGGAGGCTCCGCCCACAGAAGTGGATGCAGACACAATCGCAATGTGACATGTGGGCAGGAGTTCCACCTTGTGGTTTACTGTACCATGAAATTATTTCAGAGATACTTGTAGTTCTAAAGCCCACAGCATAAGCAGTGTCTTGTGCAAAGGGGAAAACCTCCAGCAAATCAGAAGATCCTTAAACATGCAAACAATGTGCCACAGTTTAAAAAAAAAAAAAATAAAAAAAAAAAAAAAGCTTTTTTACTGTACTTAATAAAAGCAGTAGTATAAAACACAGCAGTTCCTGCTCCTAATAGTGAGATTCCAAGCCACAACTGGGTCTGAGGCTTGGAAACAAAATAGAGGAAGGGTACTTGCACACGGTACTGATGTACGAACATCAGACTTTTGGCAGAAAATTTCTGCATAAAAGTGCAAGGGTAGGCTGTGTAATAAACATGTGCATTCATTGCATGTATTGCACGTATACATACATGTAAAAAATTCTTCTAGCTTTCCTTGGGGTGTGTTGTACACATGGAAAATGCTATCGAATAATGCAAACTTTTGCTTTTTTTTTTTTTTTTTTTTTTTTTAACTGGTCTATACACAGCACAAGTTTATGTGCCTGTGTGTACAGGCCCATTCAAAACAATGGTCTGCATTTAGATCAGTAGACAAAAAAAAAAAAAAAAAAAAAAAAGAATAAACATGCCTGAAAACCTAAAACATGGCATTTTTAGGTGTCCATGTGCAAGAGGCTTAAGAGAGGAGGAGAGTTGGAGAGGTATAGATCCATTTTTTTCCTGAGGAAGGTTATAGTATGTCTAAAATGCATCAAAATCTGTCGTCTATGCGCAATCTATTGACGTAACATACCTATAAGTATTTTTTATACCTTTTAACATTTTTACCAAATCTCTCTTGTATTGTGGTTGCCTGTGTTAACAGTTTGAGCTGACGGCACTGAAAGCATAGGAAGTTATTCTTATCCAGGAGGAAAACACTATGGTATTGTGAGAATGGTTTTATTATAATTTAATTGCAAGGAGGAGGATGTCCCTTCTGTCTTTTTGCTCCTAGCATCAAAGGTTTCCAGTCTACTTCAAAAGGAGAATCTGGAGGCGAGAGGGCAGATTTCAAGATGTGTATACAAGCAGCTGAACAAATTGAAAGGAGTGAGGATGTCAGTAGGAGATTATTAGACAGGAATGAACGCTGAACCTGGAACAAGGAAGTAGCTGACATCCACAAGTCTATGGGAGATAGAGAAGCAGACGGGGAGCTGTGAGTAACTCAGACTGAAAAACTGTGTTACAGCACATAACTGTGTAGGCTTCCTGCACAATCGAGCTCAAAAACGCCACTTTGACAGGTGTTTGAGCTTTTTTTTCTGCCTCTTAATGACCCTTCATGGTAGCATATGATCCATACACACTATAGGCATTTGCAGGTGTTTAGAGGCAGAAAAAAAAAAAAAAAAAAAAAAAAAAAAACACACACAGCAAAGTCGCATTCAGTAGAGGAGTTTTTGAGCATTAACCGCTTTCCCGCTGTTCTATAGTAGCACTACTGCTACATGGGGGCAGGACTGCGCAAAATCACGTATATACACAAATGATTTTCATTTCCATGTAGGGGGTACGCGCTGCCATTAGCGGCTAGGGATGTCAAATCTCTCTCCTTCCAGCACGGACAAGCTCTCCCTAGTAAAACACACACAGCACTTCATGTAAAACAGCACACCATTAACCCTTTGATTGCCCCAGATGTTAACCCCTTCCTGCCCAGTGTCATTGCTTTTTATTAGCACGGATCACTGTATTGGTGTCACTGGGGATGTCAGTGACACCAAATCAGTTTCCCCCAGTGTCAGAATGCGTGCCGCAGTCCCGCTATAAGTCACTGATCCCCGCCATTACTAGTAAAAATAAAAAATAAAATAAAAACTCCCAGTAGATATACCTCCATTTGTAAAATTTACACGTATTGGGTTTTTTTTTTAGCAAAAACATGTAGCAGAATACATTTTGGCCTAAATTTATGATTAATTATTTTTTTTTTTTACTGGACATGTTTAATAGCAAAAAGGCAAAACTACTGTTTTTCTCAAAATTGTCGGTCTTTTTAATTTTTTTTTAATAGCGCAAAAAATAAAAATCGCATAGGCGATCAAATACCACCAAAATAAAGCTCTATTCGTGGGGGAAAAAATTAAGTAAATTTAATTTGGACACAGCATTGCTTGACCGTGCAATTGTCAGTTAAAGTAACGCAGTGCCAGAATGCAAAAAATGGCCTGGTCAGGAAGCGGGGGGGGGGGGGGGTAAATCCTCTGGAGGGCAAGTGGTTAGTATAGGTAGTGTCAATATTTTAATCAGCTTAGGTAACAATGTAAGAAAGACAAAATACAATGACAGAACAATGATTTCTGTAACAGTCTAGAATGTACTAACCTTTATATCTGCTGAGTAGGTGCTTTTAACGGCAGGTGTATCGAAGCACGGAAAAAAGCAGCGGTTTAGACAGCCTGGCCCTGTGTATACATGTAAGGCTTCTTCTTTCCAGCTGTCTGCTCTGGTTCCAGCCAACATACCTGTGGGTAGGTCAATTGAATTAAATTGAATTAAATGATAAATAAAGAACACATAGGAGTATTGGGGAGGCATCATATTACATTATAATAGTGGT